AGCCCCGGGGATAGCAGACCATGGTGATTCCATCTTCATTCCCGGGGTCCTTAGTATTTCAAAGCTAAGATCTGCTATCTTCACACGGGCCCTCCCAGGACACATTAATACCTTGAGGCCGGGAGGTGGGCGGTGCCGGCCCCGCGCTTCCCCTGGCTCCAGGCCTCGGCTAGTGCCGGGCAGCAGCAGGCCAGCCCGTGGCCCCAGACGCTGGGACCGGGGACAGGAGAGGCCAGAGGGCGGTGGACTTGATGTAGGCCTCTGGGGAGGGCCTTGATGAGGAGAGGAAAAGAAACTGTCAGGCCCTGTCTGATGTGCTCAGAGGGTAGGCCCACGTACCGAAGGGTCGAGGGTTCGATTCCCCGTCAAGGGTATGTATCTGGGTTGCAGGCTTGAGCCTCGGCCCTGCTCAGAAGAGAGCAGGAGGCAATCAATCAAAGTGACTCACATTGCCGAAACCGGTTTGGCTCAGTGGTAGAGCATCGGTCTGCGGACTGAGGGGTCCCAGGTTTGATTTCGGTCAGGGGTATGTACATTGGTTGCGGGCACATCCCCAGTGGGGGTTGTGCAGGGGGCAGCTGGTCGATCGATGTTTCTAGCTCTCTGTCCCTCTCTCTTCCTCTCTGTGGAAAATCAATAAAATATATATATTTAAAAAAAAAAAAAAGTGACTCACATGGATGTTTCCCTCTCCTCTCCTCTTCCCTTCCACTCTCTAAAAATCAATAGAAAATATGCCCTCTGGTCTATTTCTGAGGCTAGTATTATAGAAAGAAAACGGTGGTTCAGCCAGGACCGGTTTGGCTCAATGGATAGAGCGTTGGCTTGGGGACTGAAGGGTCCCGGGTTCGATTCCGGTCAAGGGCATGTACCTTGGTTGCGGGCATATCCCCAGTAGGGGGTGTGCAAGAGGCAGCTGATCGATGACTCTCTCTCATCGATGTTTCTAACTCTGTATCTCTCTCCCTTCCTCTCTGTAAAAAAATCAATAAAATATATTAAAAAACAAACAAACAAACAAAAAAAACGGTGGTTCAGACAAGGGGGCTGCCACAGAGGGGGAGGTGAAGTGCAGGGGAGTGGCAGGGAGCCCAGGCCTTCTGAACCCCAGGGCATAGGTCCCTGACCTGGGAGTGGCTCAGACACGGCAGCCTCAGGGGCTGTCACCTCCACAGCCATGGCGTGGGCCTCCTGAGCGGCCTGTGGCTCCCCTAACCCACGAGGGAGACAGGCCCAGCGGCTGAGGACGGGCCTCTCCCAGCCCTGCCTCAGGAGGCCACTCTCGGCAGCCGGGCCTGCAGGGCCACTGGCAATGGCTGCTGCCCTGGCCCGCTGCCCACACCGGAAGCACCGTGCCCCACTCTTGCCCCAGAGAGCCAGGGACCAAAGGGCGGCCGGCTGTGGGTCAGCGTTGACCAGGCATGTGGCCTGGGGCAAGTGGTCCCCCCTCTCTGGGCTGCTGTCTGTTCCCAGGGGAGGGCTGCCCCAGCTCAGGGGCGAGTGGACCACGGGGCGCCCACCAGTGGCCGCGGGACTGTCTGGGAAGAGTGGCTGGAGGGTGGGGGCTGCATTGCCGCTCAGGCTCCAGGTTTTATCTGAACGCGTGTCTGTGTGTGGGAGAGGCTGATGGAAATGGTGATGTTGAGAGTCCCCACTCCTCCCCAAGCCAGTCCTTGGCAGCCCGCACTCCTCCTCCCCGCCCACCCAGCACAGCAGGGGCGTGTCCTTTGCAAAGTCCAAAGCTCCAAATGGGTGGACATATGGCGATTTCATCATCCTGGCTCTCCTTCCCAAACCTTCTGTGCTGCTCCAGCTCGCCACGGGGGCCCCTACTCTCCACGGAGGCTGCGGGCCATGTGGCTTTATAATTAGCAGCCCTTCTGGGCGCCAGGAAGCCAGCCTGAGCCCCATGGCCACCACCCTGCTGGCCCACGGGCGCCACCAAGTCTGAGCTGCTCTAGGGAAGGGTGGGTCCTACCTGCTATGTTCCGGGAGTTGGGTGGGGTGCTGAGCTCCCTGCACCGACCCTTACCCCCCACCCTCCCCACCCCCTGGCCAACTGCACTGGGTGCTGAGCAAAGGTGGCCACCCGAGAGCCCTGCCTGCCTCTGAAGCAGGAGCTTCTGTTTGCATTTGGCGAGGAATCAGGCTCAGGAGGGAAGACAAGTCTCAGCGAGCGAGCGAGCGAGCGAGCGAGCGGCAGAGCTGGGATCCGGCCCCCAGCCTGTCCGACCTCTGTCTCAGGATGGAGGGCAGAACTGGTGGCTGGGTGTCTGAACCCTCTTGAGCCTGGTGGCCTTGGGCAAGTTCAGTGAAGAGGGCCTTTTTCTCAGGTCCTGGCCAGCCAGGGACCTGGGGATGAGGTGAGGGGCGGAGGCTGCCCTCCGAGGGGTGGCTACACCTTTGCCCACACACTGGCCCTCCCTGAACTCCCATCACAGCCCGAGAAGCCCCCCAACCTATAAAGCTCAATCCCGGGCCTGAGCTCCAGGCCAGCAGGGGAGCAGCCACCTGCCCTTCCTTTAAGTCTCAGGGGAAGCTGTGGTGGTGCACCCTGCCTCCGCGAGGGGGGGGAGGGTGCCCAGCGTGGGTGCGGAAAGCCCCGGGGTGGCGGGCTCAGTGGAGGGGCAGGGTGGCCAGGCACTCTGAGCAGGCTGCACCTCCTAGGGGCCCTGGGAATGAGGGGCTGTGCCAAGCCTCAGGGCCCCGGGCTGCCCTGGTAGATTTAATCTTTTCAGTCTTCCATGCGCATTTCTTAGATCTGAGCCCACAGCTATGGAATTGGGAGTGCGGGTGGGGGTTCAGCTGCAGGCTTTGTTTTTCCTTCGAAAAGGGAACTTTGGATCAGAGGCTGATGGGCACATCAGGTCTGAATCACCCTATACACCTGCCCGCCCGGGCCTCGGGCTGTCAACGGGGAAACCACTGACCTCCCACCACAAGGATCGAGGTAACCCCGGTGCAAGGCAAACTGCCAGAGTGGTGCCAGGCTGGCGATCAGATACTGTGTTCAGACCAGACACCCGCCAAGCCGGCTGGCAGAACCGAGGGCACCGGTTCATACACTGTCTTTTGCCTCCAGTGAGCCTGGTGCCCTCCACCCTGATTACACGTCTGAGGCCTGCCTGGTGCATCAGCTCCCGATTTGTCCCCTTCCCTGGTGGCAGCCGGCCCCACCCTTAGTAATTGTATTTTTGTTGCTGGTCTGAGTACCAGCTTCACTGTATCTCAATGCCCCCCCCACCCCCGGGCCTAGCACCCAGTCCAGTCACCCATTGTCTACTTGACCCCTCCCAGTGCCCAGAGCCCATGGGCGCCCACCTGTCTGCCCACGTCCAGGGCGAGGCCCAGTTGGAGGAGATGCTGTGAAGATCATACCTTCTTCCCACCCCCAGGGCAGGCAGCCTAGTTCTGTCACCAGATTCTCCAATTCTCCCCGTCCTCTCCTAAAATAACCACTGCTCAGCCCCTCCGAGCACGGGAAAGGGGGCATCAGCCTGTCTGCAGGCGCCTACTAGGAGGCAGTAGCTGCCAGACCTGAGCGTGCCTGTGCCCGGGCCCACCCTAGCAGGCCTGCCAATCTGTCCCTGCCCTGCCAGCGCCCCAGCAGGCCCCGTGGGAGCAGGCCCTGGGAGAACAAAGCACCAGGAGCCAGCTTCAGCACAAACTTCTTTAATTCAAGAAAGTCTTGTCTTAGTTGCTTCTCTTCCCACAGGTGAGCGTGGAAAAGCCACTGCACCGGAAACAGTGAGTTCTCAACAATGCACGGTCACCCTCACCTAACACCGTACGGCATGGCGGGCCGGGCTGGCTGGATGTAGCCAGGCCAGCTCCTGGCCACTGGGACCCCGCGGACGGACGCCTGGAGAGCAGCACTGGGGGCTGGGCGGGCTGGAGAGGTCAGAGTGCAGGAGTCCCTGAGGCCCCGGGGGAGTGATGACGGCTGCAGGCCGCGGAGCCAGCGGTGTGTCCGGCCTCCACGCTGCCTGGTCCTTCTCAGCCTGGGGGAGGGGTTGCTCTAAGGGCGCCCCACCTTCCTTTGGTCAAGGGAGGGAAGGTCGGAGGCGGCTTCCCTGGGAAGTGATGGAGGTAAAGGAGGGAAGGGGCTGGTTATCCCTGGTCTCTGGCCACGAGGCCGGGGCTAGAGCACCAAACGTGCCAAGTTCACGAGGACCTAGCACCCACCCCAGGGGGGGCGGGGAGGTGCACCAGAATGTCCAGGGAGTGGGAAGGTGCCGCAGAGAACACCTGTGGGGGCCCCGGCCGGGAGCTCTGCACACACCCTAACGGCTCCTGGGCAGAGCTGCCCCTGGTGAGAGCGGGAACGGAGACAAAAATCACAGCTTCTGGAGGAGTGGTTGGGAAGGGACTGGAACACTGGAGTATGAGGGGTGTTCCTTTTACAGAACCAACACTAGCTTATGTATCTCTGGAAGATGTTCTCTTTCACACACACCCCACCCCACCCCCCAGCAGCAGCTGGGCCTTGCTTCCGTGACTGCCAAGCGAGGGCGGGAGGCTATGGGAGCAGAGCAGGGCTGTGCGCAGGGGCTGAGGTGGCGGAAGGCACAAGAACGGAGTCCGGAACGCAGCGAGGAGCGTCGCTCAGCTTAGGAATAAACCAGATCCGGTCACTCCTGTCCACACAGGCCCAGCGCCCGGCAGCTGCCAGGGGGGCACCGGTAGTGGTCATGGGGCGCCGAGTGCTGCCCAGCCAGAGCGGGAGGCAGGCGGGGAGGCCAGCTGTGTGCGTGAAGGCATGGGGCTGTCAGACGGAGGAGGAGGCAAGAAAGGAGGCCGCCTCTAACGTTATATATTAAAAATATCCATAGTTCTTGTGCACAGAATTCCATCATTCACATACGAGTATCACCCTGCCTCCCTTTAAAAGAAAGATGGTGGTTTTCCTTTTCAGGTCCACTCAGTCTTTATGGGCCTTGAGAACCGGCGACCCTCCCCTCCCCCCCGTCTCCGCTGGCCGGCTGCCCGGGGCCAGCAGGTCACTCGAGCCTCCGCTTGGAGGGCGGGATCAGGTGCGGGGGCAGGTCGGTGGGCAGCTCGTGGCCCTCCAGCTTGACCTTGATGAGGTGGTTGGCCAGGGCGAACTCCTCGTCGTCCAGCAGCCCGTCCTTGTCCACGTCGGCCAGCTTCCAGATCTTGCCCAGCACCGTGTTGGGCAGCTTGGACTTCACCATCTCCTTCTTGGCGTTGGCGCCCGTGATCTTGCCGTTGACGGGCGACAGCGTGTAGAAGATCTCGTCGTAGGTGGGCTTGTCCTTGCCCACCACCCACTCGATGTCGTCTATGCCCTCCCCGGCCCCCTCGCCGTAGCCGTGCCCGAAGGGCCCGTTCATGGTGCCGTCGAAGGCCCCGCCCTTGACGACCTGGGAGGGCATCTGGGACTCCTCCTGGCGCACCATCACCATCAGCCGGGCGATGTCGTTGGCCAGCATGTCGTCCACTGTGTCCAGCAGCTTGGGCTTCAAGGCCTGGAACTTGGTGAAGTCTTGGGTCTGCAGGAGTTCCTGGGGGAGGAAGGGGGGAGAAGGGTGGGTTGGGCCCTCCCAGCCTCCAGGCCGAGTGGGCAAAGCAAGGGTTCCCAAGGGTTTCCTCCTCACAGCCCGACCACTTCACAGCTCAGGCAACTCGGTGATGCCCACTGGGCCCTGAGTCCCCCATTCGTAACCTGGAAGGTAGAGAGTCCCTTCCTGGCAGGGCTATGGAGAGAATGAACCGGGATGAGGCTGAGTGCCTGGCCCTGACCCCATTCCCTGAGGACCTTCGGGTGGGGGGCTGGGGACTTCCCAGCTGCCTCCGTCTTGGGAGCACCCACCCAGAGACCCGTGCCCTGGCGCCCTCCCGGCCGGACCTGCATCTTGCGGAGGCTCGGGAAGTCGCCGGCGGAGATCTGATGCTCCCGCTCGATCTTGGCGTAGATCTCGCCCAGGTTGTTCACCAGCTCCTTCTTCTTGCTCTCTTTGCCGAACATGTTGGGCATCTCCTTCTTGAGGGAGCTGATGATGTAGGCGTGCACCTGTGGGGAGAAGGCGCGTCACAGGCTTCCTGGCGCCTCGGCAGGAGTGTGCCCTGTGCCTGGGCTGTGACCAGGAAAGGTGGGGAGGAGGGGGGCAAAGGCAGTCCAGAGCCCGTGTTCTGCTTCCCGCAGCCTCCCTCCCCCAGGGACCCCTCCATGGGGCAGCCCCACCCCCGCATGTGCAGACATGTGGACACTCACACCAAGGTCATTAAACTCCCCTCTGTCATTACCAAAGCCTTGGGGATGACTAAGGGTTAGAAAATGCCACCAGTGCCAAAACCGGTTTGGCTCAATGGATACAGCGTCGGCTTGGGGACTGAAGGGTCCCGGGTTCGATTCCGGTCAAGGGCATGTACCTTGGTTGTGGGCACATCCCCAGTAGGGAGTGTGCAAGAGGCAGCTGATCGATGACTCTCATCGATGTTTCTAACTCTCTCTCTCTCTCCCTTCCTCTCTATACAAAATCAATAAAATATATTTTTAAAATAATAAAATAAAATAAAAACAATTAAAATCTATTAAAAAGAAAAGAAAGAAAGAAAATGCCACCAGCTTTCCCCCGATGTTCCCAGCTTTATCTCAGCTTCAATGCCTTGCTCAGACATTTGCCAGTTTAAGGCAGCACACCTTCTTTCCTCAGTCCAGGCTGGTAATGTTGTCAACCCTCCAGGGCACCAGTCCTTCCCATCCTCTGCCTTCGCCAGCCAGTGCCCAGCCAGGAGGGCTGCAGCCAGCCAGCCAGCCACCTTCTCCAGACTGATCCTCCTCCTTGACCACCCCCTTTAATCCCCCTCAGCCTGGCCGGGCTGCCCTGGGCCGGGAGCCAGGCTGAGAATGGCCCGAGGAAGCAGGCCTATCAGAGCCGCAGCCAGAGGCAGCACAGAGCACTCAGTCCGGGAGCAGGAGCAGCAGGTGGGGGAACAGGTCTGGAGCCGGGTTTCCCAGGCAAAGTGACTCCATGTATCCTCAGGCCGGAGACCACACAAGCATTTCTGAGGGACAGGCCGGAGGAAGTCTGCCCTTTGTTCTGTCCGGGAAGAGGGGAGCCGCCCTGCCCTGGGGTCTCTTCTGCGCTCCCTGCCCTCCTCCTCCAGCTGGGGTGTCCCTCATGCTCTGAGGTCAGGAGCCAATCACTCAGGTTTTCTCACAGGCTCCTTCCTGAGCTGCCGCAGCGACTCAGCTAGAGAAGCCGCAGCCCTGTGTTCTCTGCGGCCTCTGCAGCCCGTCTAGGCACAGACCACGGGCTCCGTCCACATGCAGACGGCTCAGCAGGGCAGACGGGCCTGAGAACCCGTCTCCCAGCGAGCTCCCGTGTGCTGGCCCGGCACTCTGGGCAGCAGACCCGGCCGGTGGGGAAGGATGAGGATCAGGTCTCATCATTCAGGCCAAAAGCTACCTGACACCAGGCCTCCAGGCAGTGTGGGTGCCCTGGCCATGTGCTCTGTCCATGGCGGAGTCTCCAAACTCAGGGCTACACACTGCAGCGGCTTCCAGAGGTAGGGCTCTCGGCTCTCCCAGGACAGCCCAGCCAAGCCGCGGGGAAGCCCATCCTCAGTCAGACCTGTCCTCGGGGGCCCTGGTGACTGCTTCGCAGGCCACAGGGCTGCTTTCTCCAAAGCCAAACGCCCACCGCTGCCTCCCTAGCCTCTGCGCGCCGCCCTGCTCTCCGCGGCCCTTTCATCAGAGATGGCGACACACAAGGGCCTCTGCAGGCCACAGTCGCTGACCGGTTACCCCAGGGCCTCATGTGCTTGGCCAGACACTGAGATTCCAACGTCTTGAGCAATTCAGAAGCTGCCAGAGGTGCCAGCAGGCCCCGTGCTTCCGCAGAGGGGCAGGGGCGGTTCAGCAGGCCTCTGGGGACTGAGGCCGCCCAGCATCCTCTCTGGGCCCACAGGCTAGAAGCCCACCTCTCCACCAGCTTCCTGTCCTGCTTAAGCATCAGCTCCCACCAGAGGCCCCCAGCCTGGCCTGGCCCACCAAGCTAGCTCCCCAGTCTGCTTCTGCAGCGGCCTGTGGTCTCCCCAAATTGTGCTTTATATGCTGTATGCTTCCCCCCATGGCTGACCAGCGCTGTCAGTCCCCACTGTGTCCCCAGCGCCAGCATCTGCCGAGCGCACTTCAGTGCCCAAGGGACCTGGCGGGGGAAGCCCGTGAAGCCTTAAGCTGCGCCTCCGCCCTCTGCCACTCCCCAGGCTGCTGGGGTACAGAGGGGCCTTCCAGTTTGAGGTTTATGCACATTAAGAATTTCACTTAAAAAACAGTTGCGCCCACAGGTGCAGAGAGAGGGCTGGTTCAGACAGTGCAGTGGGGCTGGGGGTCTGCAGAGATGGGCCTTGGGCACCCCGAAAGGCAGGGCAGACCAATCCCCGGCCCCAGTGGCAGTCCCAGCACAGGAGCCCACCGGGCGCAGCCGTGCCCACCGGGGCCTACCTTGGCCAGCCTCGCCCTCTTGATGAGGTCGTTGAGCTTCCGGAGGGCGGCGTTGCGGGGCAGAGACTGGATGTCTTTGAACAGGTCCTGCTCCTCGGCCTCGAAGAGCTTGCGGTTGTCGGGGATGAGGAGGGGGTGGGACCAGAAGGAGCCGATGTAGACCCTGACCACCTCGGGCGTGTTGATGATCTTGCCCAGGGACCACATGAGGGCCCCGTACACCCGCATCAGCTGCTGCGTCTCGATCTGGTCGGCCTTGTTCAGCACCACGCGGATCTTGTCCTCGTGGTTCTTGAGGGCCTTGATGACCTCAGAGAACTCGTCTGAGATGTCCAGCTTGTGGGCGTCGAAGAGCAGGATGATGCGGTCGACACGCTCGGCGAACCACTCCAGGACGGCCGCGAAGTCGTACCCTGTGGGCAGAGGCGGCGAGCTCAGGCCCCGGGACAGGTGGTCCCTCTCCACCTGGTCTTTACATCCCAGAACGTGCTCACAGCACCCTGAGGGAGTCATCGGGCCTCCCACTCCCGTACCCGCCACAGGGCCTGGCATTAAGAGACACTTAGAAAATAAGCAACGCAAAGGAAGTCACAAAGCCCACGCTCTGAAGTGGGTCTGACTGTGGCCGGGGTGAGGAGACCCCAGCAGCGCGGCTCAGCCCCGTGTGGCAAGGACAGACTCTCTGCCAGCCAGGCGCCCTGGCACAGCAGTGACAGCGAAAAACAGCGCGCGCGCCTGCGGCCACTGCCTGCCAGGCTCCCTGCTCTGCGGGGTCTCACGCATTCCCTACAACAGGGGCTGGCAGACTGCAGTGCGGGGTCCAAATCTGCCCCCACCCCCGTTGCCCCACAGGAGGCTCCACTGGGCAGCACGGCCAGCTGCACTGCCGAGGCTGCTGCTGTCTGCAGCGCGGAGTTCAGGGGGTTGCGACAGACCGTAATGCCTGCCGAGCCTACAACGCCGAGTCTCTGACCCCGAATGGGTTTGCTGACCTCTGTTCCACAGCGAGCTCACGAAGCAACAAACCACTTCCCTAAAGTGCAGGCTGGCCTGACTGTTTCCCCTCCCTTCACTGCCGGCTCCCCGACCAGCGGGCACGGGCACGGGCACGGGCGTGGGGCAGAGCGCTGACCGGAACTGTTCCTTCAGCACAACTGTCCTGTTTCAGCTGGACACCCCCCGCCCCCCCCCTGCCTGGCTGCCCGGCAGCAAAGGAACAAGAACAGGAGTGTGACCCTTTGTCCTTTCTCCTCTCCTTGGCTAGAATGTCCATGAGACCATGAAGCTGGAGCGGCCACCTTGGGTCGGAGCGCAGAGCTGAGCTGCTCCTTCACACACAGCCACCTGGCATCGGACCGAGCGGGGCTTTGGGGTTGGATTTGTATCCTGTGTTGAAATTACACTTCAAAACGTTTCCCTTTCTCTCACTGCCCCCAGAGAAGGGAGCCTTTCTCTCCTCGTAGGAATCCCGACGAGAGGCAGGAACCAATGGGAACAGGGACAAGAGTCTCTGGGAAGCCTGGGTCCCAGCCCCCGTGCATGTTCCCTTCCGGGGATTCTGGGCACCCTCCTTGTCCCTGGGACCTGTCCTCTCTTCCTCACCTGCTCCCCACGGGCCCCCCAAAGGTGGGCCGACCCTCTTAGGAGCCCCCAGTGCTTCCCAGAGGGCAGCTGAGCTCCGGAGATTTAGCCAGAGAAGCCCTCCTGTGGAGAAGAGCCGGGGACACAGAGCAGCCACACGGATCTCCCCTCCCCCTCCCCTCAGCCCCCTGCCGGGTGGGGTTCAGACCTGTTTTCCAGGCCACGGCAGAGAGAAGCAATCAGGTCCAGGAGGAGGCCAAGAAAAGACAAAGTGTCACGAAAGGCCCAGTGCAGCCCACAGGGCCGGGAGGGCAGCCCCGCGCTGGGAACCTGAGCAGCGGGCCGCACTCAGGGCTCAGCGCCAGGCCCCGGCCCAGCCCGAGAGGCCGCCTCCCTGGGCCAGAACCCGGGCGGGCCCCTGCCTGGCTGGATAAACACTCTGGCTGCCAGGCCCCAGGTTCGAGTGCGCTTCAGAGCTGTCTGCACGCCTGGAGCCATGGCGTTCCCAGCCTCTCCCCGGGAACTCAGAAAACAGGACCTTAAAGACGGTTCTGGGTTCAACTCCCAGCTCCAGCCACTGACTGTGACCTTCAGTGCTTAACTCTGCGTTACTCATTCTTCGTCTATCCAGTGTGAAAACCAAGTCCTTCTAAGACCTGGGAGGTCACATGAGGCGATGTGCTGGGCTCCCAGCGCAGGCCCAGGCACTGGGATGACTTCCATGGAGGCGGGGGCGAGGGGAGAGGTGACAGGGCCACTGGAACAAGGGACAAGCAGCTGGGATTGCGTCACTGCTCAAGAACTATGCGACCGATGTCGGGTCTACTCTGAGGCCAGGGGCAGCTCTCCTCTTCGGCAAAACACCGAGACTTAAGGAAGCCCCAAATCACCTGGCAGCCTCTCCGGGCGATGTGGAGGCTTCGCCCACCCCAGCAGCCAGGAAACAGGATGCTCTAACCAGAGGCAGCCACTCAGCTGGTTGGGGTTTCTTAACTCAGTGGAGGTAGGTGGAAGGGGGCGGGGACAGCAAAGCCCTTAGGACTCTGAACCCCCAGGCTGGCAGGGGAGCAGCCAGCCCTCCGAAGGCCCGGGCAGCTGGCTGGAAGGGCAGGGCCTCCAGCGTCCCTTGGCAGTGTGGCAGGGCATGGAGCAAGGCATGCTGGTGCCAAAGTACAGCTCCGTGGCCCCCGCACATGGGGGCCCAGCGCCGGGGAGCACGCCCAGGGCGAGCGGCCTGCAGAAGAGCAGGAAGGAAGGCGGAGCGCAGGCGGAGGACAGCAGGCAGGGAGCGCGGCTGTGCCGGCTGGGGCTCGGAGGCTGCAGGCTCCGCCAGCGCCTTTTATGGCTGGCTCTGCGGCCAGCAGGTCAGCGCTGAAAAAGCGATGACTCAGGACTGAACAGAGGCTCCCTCTCAGCAGAAACGAGGCCCTACTTCTCCCCTCGGCAAACCATTTGTCCTCAGACTGACCGAGTTCAAGTGACCAGAGTCCCACAGCTGGGGGGGCAGCAGTGCCAAAATGAAAGCAGTGGAACAGGGGCGCCCTGATGGGCTGGGCTCGAGCCCAAGTTAACTTTGGCCCAGGAATGAGGACAGCGGCGGGGAGCTGAGGTCACCCCCACACTCCACCCAGCAGGCCTCCCCCTCCCCCAACGGTGGGGGGCCAAGAGCACGATGGGAAAGGGAAAGGAGGAGGTGGAGTGAGGCCCCAGAGCCCCAGGCGGCAACACACTGTTGCTCACCAACACCTCAACTCAGAGCCAACAGAGCTAAGCCCGTGTTTTGCAGGTGAATGAAATTTCCTGTTTATTATGGAAAGCGCTCACTTTTGGTGAGAGAGAAGGGAGAGGTAGCGGTTCCATTCCTGGCCAGGGCGCATGCCTGGGTTTTGGGCTTGACCCCTAGTAGAGGGTGCGTAGGAAGCAGATGTGCAACGATTCTCTCATCATTGATGTTTCTCTCTCTCCCTTTCTGAAATCAATAAAAACAATCTTTTAAAAAAATGGTTAAGTCTAGCTCTGGCCAGTGTTGCTTAGTGGTTAGAGGGTGTTGGGTTAGATTTCTGGTCCAGGGCATGTTACCTGTGTTGCAGGTTTGATCTGTGCGGGAGGCAACCCTCTCCCCACCCTCTTTGCTTCCCTCCCACCCCGCCCAAGAACCCATGGAAAAAATACCCTCGGGTGAGGATGAACAAAACATGGGTAAGTGTTATGTTGTGCACATTTAACCCTCCCACACACACACACAGTCATGGGGACTGGGAGATGGGAGGGGCAGGGTGGAGCCCATCAGGTGTGAGGACAGGCGGCCCTCACCGTGGTGGCTTCCTGAGCCTCCTCTGGGTCCCCTCTGCCTTCCGGGGTGCCTCCTGAGGGGTCTGCCTTCCCCACCAGCCGTGCTTCCCTCTCCCCACCCCAGCACCCAGCTCCGAGGCGCAGAGGCAGCACTGTGATTGGCGCCTGCTCGCCCTGCGCAGCACCCTCCAGACACAGGCGTTCCAGCAGCCAGAGGGGAAAAGCTGCTTCATACATTCCGAAAGCTTCTAGAACATGAACAATAGAGCGTTTGTCTCCAATCACCTTCTGTTTCCTGCCATTCAAGCTGCGTGGGCCTGGGCATTTCTTACCATAGCTCTCCATCACACACATTTCCAACTCATGCTGGACCAGGAGAGCAAAACAAATATTAAAGCGCTGAGACTCACCCAGTTGGTGTGGCTCAGGGGTTGAACTTTGACCCATAAACCAGTAGATCACAGTTCAATTCCTGGTCACGACATATGCCCAGGTTGCGGGTTCCATCCCCAGTAGGGGGTGTGCAGGAGGCAGCTAATAATTTTCTCTCATTACTGATGTTTCTCTCTCCCCCCCCTCCCTTCCTCTCTCTGAAATCAATAAAATAAAATAAAATTAAAATCTGCACTGTACACAAATGTTTATGGCAGCTTTATTCAAAACTGCCCCAAACTGGAAATCCAAATACCCTTCACTCGCTGAGCGGATAACAAATGCTGGTGCGTCCATCGGCTGGGCCAGCACAGCAACAAAAGGGCAAACCATGGACGCCGAGGCACGTGACCAACCCAGATAGCTCAGGCCAAGTGAAAAGACACACACCAGGCACAAACGGGATGACTCCACTTCAGACATTCCGGCAAAGGCAAAGCTTTAGGGACCAGTGTCAGAGCGGCGGGTTGCCTGGGGTCAGGAACTTTCTGGGCGATGGGAAGACTACACCTCAGTCACGGTGGTGGTTACAGACTGCTTCAGAGAGCTGTGCACCTGAACAAGGTGAGCGTGACTGTGTGTGATGTAGACCTCAGCACACCTGACCACAAGACAGGAGGACAGGGCCAGAGGGAGGACAGATGGACTCTGGAACCAGGCCCCCATCTGAATCCTGGGACTTCTCAACAACCAGCAGCATGACCCCAGCAAGGCCACATTCCCTGAGCCTCAGTGTCTTCATCAGCGACGTGAAGCACTGCTGGGGCATCGAGGGGCGCCTGCACACCGTAAGCTCTTGGTAAATGTTTGCTAGTATTTGCTCCGGGATCTGTACTTTGGACTCAAGAAGCTTTGGTTCTGATGGGTGTGTGGGCAACGACGCTCTTAACGCGTGAAGAATGCCTCGAACCCCAAATATAAACGGAACATTTGCAGGCGCTCGGGCCAGCTGCCACCCAGCCGGCCGCCGGGCGGGCTGGCAGCCTGGAACAGGTGCCGCGTGCCGGCACCAGCTGGTACCACTCCTCCGTAGGCAGTGGCCCACACCCCTCGGCAGAGCCCGCAGCTTTCTCACCCTGGGCTTGGGCCAAAAGCTGTCGGGCTGGACAGGGGCGGGGGTGGGGGGCAGCGGGGAGAGGAGGGCTTTCAGGAGGGAGCTGCCCAGGGCCTGAGCACCCGGAGGACCTGGAATCCGAAGGGAAACCCCGCTGAGTCAGTGCTTCCCCACCCTCCAGCTCAAGATGCTATTGGGGAGAGTGCCTTCCTCATGAGTCTGGGAAGTCCTGGGTTTCCCATCAGCTGACACTGCAGGGCATTCAGCTGTGCCCTGGGCACCGGGGCAAGGAGTCCATGTAGAAAGGCCTGCAGCCCGGACACGAACATCACCCTCTCCCTTCTGTGCGGCTCTGGCCCTAAGCACCGCCTGGGAAGCAGGAGCACGCGGCACTCCAGCCTGACAAGGGCCTTTTGGGAAACTCCACGGAGCATCCTCTGGTTGAAACCTGGTGAAGCTCTGGCCTGGAGGGCTTTTAGGGCTGAGGCCTCTGAGGAGGCGGTCAGCATGAGGGTCAGCGCGAAGGGATGGCTCAGGGATGGGGGCTCCAGCTCCGGGCTGGGGAGGCAGAGCCAGCAGGCCGGCTTCTGGTCTGAGACAGACCCTGGGGCCAGGGACAGTGAGAGGAGGGCAAGTGAGAACCCAGGGACCAGGCAGCCGTGGTCAGGGCTCCGAGGACTGGTGCAGCAGACAGGAAAGGAAGATGCCAGCCTGTGACTGGTCTCAGGCTGGCAGAGAAGCCCTGCTCAGTGATGACCAAAGAGGGTCAAAGGCTGGTCCGACCCAAGCTCTCGGGGCTCCTTCACCCAGAGGCCTCTCAGCACATGCAGTGTGAGCACAGCTTCTGCTGGTTCCCACCCTCACACCAGTGTGTCATCTTGGGCTAATTACTCAACTTTGCTAAGCCTCCGTTTCCTCCTCTAAAAAGCAATAGCTTCCTCTTAGGTGCAGCTGCTGTGACAACTGCGTGAAGTGGGTTCACGTGGCACAAGGCCAGGCACAAGGCCAGCCGGCTCCGACCTCCTAATCCAAGTCTAAGCAGCACTTCACCGCTGCCACACCTTCCACACGGAAAACGAGACACGAGTTCCGGCTCAGCCCAGCCACGCGGCAACGGCAGGGAGCGACTGGCTGGGACTTCCGCTGCTACCAAGACCCTGATGCCACCGACTGCAGGCACCGAGCAGCAGGGAAGCCCAGCCCCCGCCCAGCCGGCCCAGCTGCCCTTTGGGACGCCCTGTCTGTCGCACAGGCAGCACTCCCGATGCACCCCGCGTCCGCAGGTCACTCTCTTGCTGACACAGGAGAACGTTATCTACAAAGTCCAACAGGGAAGCGGGCTGCTCGGTCCCACCTTAGCTGCCAGCAGATCCCCTGCACATGAGGGACCACGGGAAAGCCAGGGGCCAGGCAGCAGGGTGGGAAATGGAAGCCGATGTAATGAGCAACTCCATGCACACACACTCCCTCCAGAAGGATGTTCTGTCTCCAGGGAGCGAGGCTGGCGAACCAGCCGCCATGCTGCTTGCCCCGGACCCGGGCTGCTGCTGGCTCTGTCTTTCTGGGAGGGAAACACCTGCTTTCCACGCAGCAAAGGGAGCAGAGGCGGCGGCCAGGAAGCCTGGACACACTGCCCTGCTCTGACGTCCCTCTGGACCAGGCGGCCCGGGATCTTTGCAGGAACTGAGGGTGGGCTTCAGAGAGAAACCCTCTCCCTTCCCATCCACCATGGCCAGCGCCCTGGACCCACACCCAGCACCTCTGAGAGGCCTTTCTCCTGCTGACAACTGACATGTTCCACGGCAAATTCCAACTCGGTACCTTTTAGTAAAATCCTGTACACCGAGACCTCCAGCGTTACGAAGGGAAAGAAATGGCAAAAGCAGTTTTTGTCTCACTACTTCACAGGAGGAAAACCCTTCTCCTATCAGAACAACGCATTTGCCTTTTTTGTTTTTAAACATTTATTTGAGAGAGGGAGGAAGAGAGAGCAGCAGCAGTTTTTGTTATTCCACTAATTTATGCTTTCATTGGCTGCTTCTTGTATGCGCCCTGACGGTGACTGAACCCCGCCACCTTGGAGAATGACAATGACATTCTAACCAGCTGAGCTACCGAGCAGGGCCCTGTGCTTCTCTCTAAGCCACCTCCTGGCGGCCATGATGGGTGGGAAGGCCTGGGGCTGCCCAGGGCCCCAGAGGGCCCACACCGGACGCTGGAGAAGACGGCAGGCCCACAGCGGAGAGGTGGAAAGCTAACGGAGCTTCGCCCGCTGGCTTCCTCTCCCAGGACCTGCTGTCTGCCCGCGGCTTGGGGCCAGGGCTGCCTCGCCCACCACGGGCTCCCCAGCCCCCACACTGTGACTGGAGGGAGCGCGGAGGCCCTGCTTTGGGAGAGAGGGGGAGGCGGGGGCGGCAGCACCCTAGCAGACAGGATCTGGGCGCCCAATGCAGTAAGACATCCACTCCCACCGTCTCAGCCGCTGAGCTCTGCACAAGCTGAAGTGCTGAAGGCAGCCCAGCAGGGGACTTCCGAGCACTGGTGCAAAGAGCTTTCCGAGTTCCCTTTTCCGTGACAACAGGGGCCATAGAGCCCTAAATCCTCTCCCTACATATCTTCCCTCCCCGCTCTGAAGGCCGCAGAGGGCGGCATTCTGGGAAGATAAGCCTCTCTTTGTGAGCTCCTGTCCTTTATGCAGACACACACACAGCTGGCCTGTGGGGCTGGGAGCATGTGGAAGCCCAGAGGGGGCCAGTCAGAGCCCCTCCAGGTCATTAAAAAGGACGCTCCATAGAGGTTCAGAGAAAGTCCCTCTAGGATAGCTCACCCTGGAGGAGATTGAGAATAACTCCCCCTTTGGGGGACCCCCCCCTTTAAGAGTAACCGATTCAGCTTTTCTGGCCTTATTTTGGCAAATGTCAAGCCTTCTGCTTATCAGGCACTTTCTTAAAACCAAGTTGGAAAAGTAACAGCAATGAGAGAAAACTGGCCCTGGCCTTTACAAAGGGGTCCCTAAATCTGCTCCCCGAATCCCTAGGATGTCATTATCCTTGGGAGGAGAACCAGAAAGCTTAAGACAGAGCCAGAGCCAGAGCTAGAGCAGGCCAGTGAGCTCTGATGCAATCCTATAGGCAGGGACTCAGGCCTGGGAAGGAAGAGAAGGTTTGCCAGCACCAATGGCTGGGCCGCAGCCCTCACAGCTACAGCAGACACACACTAACCCCCGCACCTCAGGCTGCTGGCTTCAGTGCAAAGCTCATCAGCGCTGGGGGGCCCTGAGGGAAAGGGTGCAGGGAAAATTTTCGAGTTGATGGTAAACAAACTTCCCTTGTCCTCAATCCCTCTGAGACTGCTCTCTTTCCATTTTCACATCTGCAGCTGCAGGCTTCACGCCTGGCCTGCCAGTTGTCCTCTGCCTGCCCTCGTGCACCTCTAGGCCCCGAGTTCCCCTGCCTTCTACAAAAGGAGGGGCTGGGGGTGGACAGCAGAAACAACCCAGTTCAGACACATCCTGAACAAGATCTTCAGGAAAGCTAAACAAAACCGAACCAGGAGTTCACACAACTGAATGTGTCTGATGCCCTCATACTCAGCACAAACAACTTCCGCTGGGAGGTTGCTGCTTGCAGGCATTTAAGCAATTTCAACACATTTCCACTAGCCCCTAAGCATTTAACAAATTCCTGCCAGTGTCCTCTAGGGAGCTTGCTAGAGTCCAGCTGATTTCCCACACGCCTGCAGGACTCACTAGGAATGTGTACGGCGTGGGGAGGCAAAGCTTTGAAACACAAACTAAGGTGCGTGAGCCCAGCAGGGCCGGCATGGCTCAGTGGTTGAGCATCGACTTATGAACCAGGTCACGGTTCGATTCCCGGTCAGGGCACCTGGCGGGGTTGTGGGCTCCATCCCCAATGTGGGGTGTGCAGGAGGAAGCAGGTCAATGATTCTCTAATCACTGATGTTTTTATCCCTCTCTCCCTCTCCCTTCCCTTCTGAAATGAATAATTTTTTTTTTTTTAAAGGAGAGCCGTTGGCTGGCTTGTTCACGGTCAGCAATGCTGGCTGCGGTACCTTGGAGCCCAGATACTAAGCTATTTTCTGTGACCGCACAGCCAGCCGGAGGCCCCAGCTCCATTCCTGGCTTCCTTCCCAGCATGCCCCAGGGGCGGGAAAGCATGACAGCCACACGTTGGCTGTGGTTTCACCTGATGGCTCTTGTAACTTCAGCAAAGGAGCCAAGGAAGGAAGGAGCTCCTTGGCTGCGAGAACTGTGACAGAGGGCTGGTGGGCAATGGGCTCCCCTTGGGCTGGGGCAGGCCTCAGGGCAGCATCGGGGCTGCATGGCAGGCCTCAGATGGGAGCGGCCCTGGGCTGCGGGTCCGTACCTCTGCTGATGCGCTGTTTCTCTCCAGACAGGATGCCGGGTGTGTCGATGATGCTGATGCTGTCCAAGACCGGGTTGGGCAGCTGGGCGCACATGAACCTGCACGGACAAGAGCCGGGGAGAGAGGTCAGGACTCAGTATTGCTGCTCTAGAGGGCACAGCGGTGCTTTCTTTCTTTTTTCCCCTAATTTTTTTTTTTTTTTAAATATATTTTATTGATTTTTATACAGAGAGAAAGGGAGAGAAATAGAGAGTTAGAAACATCGATGAGAGAGAGTCATCGATCAGCTGCCTCTTGCACACCCCCTACTGGGGATATGCCCGCAACCAAGGTACATGCCCTTGACTGGAATCGAACCCGGGACCCTTCAGTCCCCAAGCCGACGCTCTATCCATTGAGCCAAACCGGTCCTGGCTCCCCTAATTTTTTATTATTATTGATTTTTTACAGAGAGGAAGGGAGAGGGATAGAGAGCCAGAAACATTGATGAAAAGCATCGATCAGCTGCCTCCTGCACAATCGCTACTGGGGATATGTCCGAAACCAAGGTATATGTCGTTGACCGGAATTGAACCTGGGATCTTTCAGTCCGCAGGCCGACACTCTGTCCACTGAGCCAAACCAGACAGCGGTGCTTCCTGTGCTCCATCGCCACCTCTGCTTCCTTTCCAAGAGCGAGAAACTTACAGGAGGTTTTCTAATATCTTAGCTGCCAGGGGTGGCCAGCAGACCGCACATAGTCTCTTAACTGATATCCAGCCAGCAGGCGCAGACTGACCCACATCAGCACGTCCCTCACATTCGGCTTCCCCCAGAGTTCAAGGGTTCAGCACTCAAGCTGCTGACATGTTAGCATGAGCCTAGGTCACCACTCAACCACGGGCTACAATTCTTTCTTTTTAAAAAATGTCTTATTTTTTTTAATTTTGTTAATCCTCACCAGAGGATATTTTTTTCCATTGATTTTTTTAGAGAGTGAAGGGAGAGGGAGAGACAGAAAGGGAGAACCGTCGATGTGAAAATTCCCTCTTGCATGAGCCCTGATCGGGGCCAGGAATTGAGCCTGCAATGGAAATATATGCCCTTGACCAGGAATTGAACCTGCAACCCTTCAGTCCAAGGGCCGACACTCTAACCACTGAACTAACTGACCAGGACTGGTTTTTATTGATTTTAAGGAGAAAGGAAGGGAGAGAGAAGCATCACGTGAGAAACACTGATTGGCTGCCTCCTGCATCCTCTCCCAGCCCCCCTCCTTCCCCTCCCCGGCCCTGGGAATTGAGACCACAATCTGGGCATGTGCCCTGACAGGGAATTGAACCTAAGCACATCTTTGGTACATGAGACGATGCTCAACCAACTGAACCACACTGGCCAGAGCACCACTACCTTTCCACACACCAAAGAGAGTAAGTAGATCCTTTGCTACTGCTGCTGGGCCCAGCCCTTCCCTTCCACCCAGCTCCGTGGGGGAGGGACTGCGGCGGGTGGCCAGTGAGAGCTGGAGGACTACCCCGGCTGTTGGTGGGCAGGGAAGTAGACATCATTCTCTGAAAGTCAAAGCATGAAGGAGGCAGCTGATCAATAAATGATGTTTCTATCTCTTCCCTCACTGAAATAAAAATTTAATAAAATCTTAAAAAAAAAAAAAAAAAAGAATGAAGCCACAGAGAGGCTGGCAACTCACGAGGGAGGACTTGGCTGTGTGCCTAAGTTCCCACTGGACTCAGAACAGCCCAGAGCAGCACGGGGCTCCCAACTGGAGCAGTGACGCTATATATATATATATATATATATATATATATATATATATATATATATATATATTTTATTGATTTTTTACAGAGAGGAAGGGAGAGAGAGCTAGAAACATCGATGAGAGAGAAACACCGACCAGCTGCCTCTTGCACACCCCCCACCGGGGATGTGCCCACAACCAATGTACGTGCCCTTGAATGGAATCGAACCCGGAACCTTTCAGTCTGCAGACCAACGCTCTACTGCTGAGCCAAACTGGTTTCGGCAGCGACTCTTGATTAGACACAGAAAGGCCCTTTGATAAGGCCTCTGGGAAAGGTATTGTGTGCGCTGACCCAGCGTGTGCAGGACACAGGCTTAAAGCTGCCTTTCCAACAATGGGGAGGAATCCAGCTGATCAGCTTCCCCTTTCGGCCCCACCCCTTGGTGACCAGTGGCCCCCAGGCCAAGGGTGGAAGGTCCTGCCTACAAACAACAGAGCCAAGCCAGCTGCCTACAAGGCAAGCAAACCTTGGACCTCACCCTCCCGGTGCGGCAGCGCTGTGTGCTGTAAACAGTGTGCGCCAGGCCTGGGCTCCTGCTGGGGAAGGTGGCACTGGAGAGAAGGCCAAACCGAAAGGATCAGGAGAAAAACTGGCTCCGGTAGTGGCACACTAGCACACAAATGCCTTGTAGCCCTGGCCGTTGTGACTCGCTTGGTTGGGTGTCGTCCAGTGCACTGAAAGGTCACTGGTTCGATTCCTGGTCAGGGCAGGTACCCAGGCTTCATCCCTTTTATCCTGATACTAAGCAATGGATCTTGGTGCAGGAGGCGGCTGATCGATGTTTCTCTCTCTCTCTAAAAATCAATAAAAAATGTTAAAGAAATAAAGCCTGGCAGATGAGCCTGGTGAACACGCGTAGGACTCAGAAACAACTGCTGTGCGGTGGAAACAGAGGCCTCCCCTCCCATTGTCTCACCAACAAGGATGCTCAGATTTCTCTTCACTACAGGGGGTGGGAACGGCCACACAATGAGTTTTCACAGGACCAACTTAGGGCACTGACTGCCCTGCCTCCCTCAGTCAGCTCCATCCGATTTTGGTCTTAGAACAGCCACTTAGGGGGAAAAGACCGGAAAGTCAAGTTCATGACTCAATGGGTCTCTTTAAGAGCCTGGGAGAGGCTGTGCCAGCCAGAGAAGAGCCCCCTTTGTGTGCCCTGCTGGCCAGGAGGCACAGGCTGACACAGCCCAGGCCTGGGCTTCAGTGCAAACCCAGGCCCCCCACCCTCGGCTGCAAGGCCTTCAGGCAGGGCCATAGCATGTGGGGACCCTCTTGAGATGAGGTGGCGGCAAGAAGGACACAGTGTGGCTGCTGGGTCACCAACATCACCCTGAACGGCTGGCTCTCTGCTGGTAGAAGCGGCAGCAGCCGGCTGCACAGACAGTCCGCAGGCAACCACTTGGGGGTGAGCGCCACAAAGCACCTCGGCTCAGGGCCGTTAGTTCCCTAAACTAATGAGGTGGGGATGGCCTAGGTCGGCGGTTGCCAACCGGAGGTCCTCGGGCCATTGGTGTCCGTGAGGTCCGAAAGGTTGGCGGCCGCTGGCCTAGATGCTGAAATCCCTTCTAGCTCCAAAACTAGGTCTGCAAGTTCAGAAAAGAGGTCACATGCGCTGGTCGGGTAGTTCATTTGGTTAGTGTCGTCCCAATACACGCCAAGGTTGTAGTCAAGCACATGTAAGAATCAACCAATGAATGCATGGATGGATGGAACAACATCTCTCTCTCTCCTCTCTCTCTCTCTCTCCCTTCATCCCTCCCTCCCTCCCTGTCTAAAATTAATGAGAGAAAAAAACACACAAAAAAAAACAGGCCACATGCCCATTTCTTCTTCCAAAAAAAGGTTTCCTATCACAGCAGAAGTGGACACCTGAGGGCAAATGAGGTAGGCACAGCTACCCTTCCCGCCAGCTTCCCGAAGTTCTGCGCGAACACAGAGACCCAATCATGCCTGGAATTCCCGGCATAGCGGCCAACTTTTCCACAAGCTGCGCCGCGCCCACCAGCTCGCAGCCTGAGCCAATCCCCTATCTACAGGCACAGCAGCTCCAAACCCAGCACCCGGAGAGGCTCCGGCTCCGGCTCCGAGGCCGCACCTCTCCCGGCGCCTCCCCAGAGGGTGCTCAGCTCAGGCCCCCACACCCAAAGCCGCCGCCCGCTGGAGGCAAAGACAGCAGCAGCCTGTCTCCCCTGCTCATGGTCAGCCCTGGGACTGCAAACGGCCTGGGCGGCGCGGACTGGGGGCAAGCCGGTCCACCCTGCCCAGCTGGACAGCCTGGGAAGGAATGCGATCACACAGGGCGGAGACCTGGGAACCGGACTGAGCCCGGCATGGAGCCCCTCCTTGAGTGGAGGCGGCAGGTCGGTGAGGTCCCCGGGTGTGCACCACGGGGAGGAGGGTAAGGATTTTAGGAACACGGACTGGGGCTCCGAGCTCCTTTACAGAAGAGAGAGTTTGGCTGGGTAAGTCAGCTGGTTAGAGCATCGTCCTCACACACCCGGGTTCCAGGTTCCATGCCCGGTCAGGGCACACACCAAAGTCAGCCCACGCATATGTAAGTGGAACAACAAACTGATGCTTCTCTCTCTTTCTAAAATAATTTTTAAAAAATCAATCAATAGTATTTTTTTTAAGTGAGTTTGGCTGTGTGCACTCAATTAGAGGTCAATGCCTCTCATGGGCAGCATCGTGAAGGACAGACTCTTGGAGGACCGGTCCTCTCATCACGAGAAGGCAAGTTTCACCCATTTAACTGGGGAAACTTAACCAAGTAGGTGAAGGAACCTCCTAGTGCGTCTACAGAGGGATTCCGGGTCCCAGGGTCCCCCCCTGACCCTTAACCCCTAAGGCAGCCAGCCTAGACCTGAGACAAGTGTTCCAGCCCACGGGGGCCCTCCCTGTCCCCCAAAACCCGCGGCCCCAGGGGAGGCGCAGCGCAGCCCAGCAGCAGAGGGATGGCTAAGAGCTTCACCACCTTCTCCCACTGAGAAACAGACCCTGAGGGAGGGAGGGGTGGTCTGAATGAATTCGGTGCGTCCAGTCTGGGGCCCCTGGTTCTGAGGGAAGTGGGGCTGGGCTCTGCGGGGAGTTAAGCTGATCACCTAGAAAATTCCGGGAGGTGACAGACCCGGGGAGGGGGAGCCGGGGATGCCCACTCCCGGAGCCACAGGTGAGTGTCCCAGGAAGCGGCAGAGGAGCCTGTCCCGTCCCAGGGAGCGGTCCTGAGGGTCTCGCCGGGGCCTCGGAGACAAAGGACGGCGGCGGGGCGGCGGCCGCGGGGGAGCGGGGCGCGGGGCCGGGGCTCCCCGGGGCGAGGGGCGAGGGGCGAGGGGCGAGGAGTACCTGTTGAGGAAGGCGTTGCCGAAGGCGTTGAGCTTGCGGAAGGGCCGCCGCGGGTCCACGACGAGCGCGTTGCCCGGCACCACGCCCTCAGTGGGGCCGTGCATGACCGCGATGAACGAATCCGTGGTGGGCTCGGGCCCGATGCGCATTCCCGGGAAGTCCTGCTCGATCAGGTGCCGGATGAAGGTGGTCTTGCCGGTGCTGTACTGGCCCACGAGCAGCACCATGGGCTTGTTGTCGAAGTCGGCGTCTTCCAGCGCCGGCGAGTGGAACTCGTGGAAGCGGTAATGCTCCTCCAGGGGCAGCAGCTTCTGCGAGTACAGCTGCCGCAGCCCCTCGGCCACCGTCTGGAAGAGCTCCGGCTCCTTCTTGCGCCGCGCGTCCTTGCTCACCCAGCTGAACATGCTGCCGGGCGCCGGGCGGGCTGCTGCGGGGAGAGCGGCGGCTGGAGCGGGCAGAGGCGCGCAGCCGAGGCGGGGCCCGGCCGGCCGAGGGGCGGAGAGGCGGCGGCCAGCTGGCGGGGCCGGGGGCGGGAGGGGGCCGCACTGCGCAGGCGCACGTCACAGGCCCTCGGCGGAGTGAGGCGCGCCCCGGCCGGCGCCCTTTATAAGGCCGGCCTCGGCGCGGGGGCGTGCGCGCCGCTGGGGGCGGGGCGCTGGGCGGGGGAGGCGGTGCCCGGCCCGCGGACCCCGCGCCACGTCTTCCCCGCGCCCTCTCCCATTGGCCGATTCCAAATCTCGCGAGCGCTGCTGGCTCGCTCCCCCGCCCGCCCGGGTGCCATGGCAACCACGCTTGTTTCGCCTCACACTCAGTGGGCGGCTCCCGGAAGTGCTGCGGTGGGAAAGGCGGGAAGCGGGCGTCGGGCTGGAGGAGGCCGGGGGGCCCGCGTGCCTTCCAGCCTCCGCGAGATGCCCAGTTCAACACCCCAGCTTCCCGACCGCGGGCCCACCCGCAGTGACCTCCCAAATGGCCCAGAATCCCAGGAGGCTGGGAGGGGCCCGAGCCCAGCGCCCATCCGCCTGCCCTTCCTTGCCACCTCCATCCTCTCGCTCCCACTTCCCTGACGCATCCTCCCATCCCCGCATCGTTCTGCTCTGGGAGAGGCAGTAGCCAGAGATGGTAGAGGAAGCTGAACATCCCGGGCGGGGTGGTGACTCGCAGAGAAAAAATGCGGAGGGTGAGACCATGGGGGAAGTCTGACTAGCAGCAAGAGGTGACACCCTCAGGCCAAAGGGCTGGGAAATCGGAGATGGACGCAGCCGTGGAGGACGCAGAGGACACGGGATGTGGGGGAGAAGAGATACCTTCCTTACAGAGGCTGCATCTGTGGGAAGGGGGAGGGGTCGTGAGGAAGTTGGGGCACTCTGGCCACGGGCGCTTAGAGGAAGAGGAAATTCCCCCTGTACGTGGGGCAACAGTGAAATCTTGTGGGAACTTTGGGGGAATTAAAAAACCCAAATACTTCCGCTTTCCTCTCAGCTCACCACCAGTTACTCTTACCTACCAGTTCCTGGCTGTCCCATTAGGCTCATTTTCCTGCCATCATCCCTGGCCACACGCAGGCCCGCTGCTCTGTCCAGGCTGGTGGAACCCTGCATGGGTGATGTCAGAGCTGTGGGGACTGATTGTTAGGTAACCGGAACAGGACACCAAGGTGCAGGAGGGGGTCCGGGAGGCTCCGGGCAGATCTGAAATGGACTTGGGAACCTCCTGTCCAAACGTCCGGCTCCTGGGAGGTGTGGGAGCCTGGAGGGCCGGGTGCCTGTATCCGGGAAGAAAGCAGACCGACTGTCAGGCTAAGAAGACAGAGGGAGGAACTCAACTCTGAGAATAAACACTTTTAGGGGAGCTGGGCCAAGGGGAGTCAGAGGGGGCGAGATAGGAGGTTGGTCTCCCACCCTTAGGGGGTCAGGCCTCAGTGTCTTCTGAGAGAATAAGGAATGTTAAATTCCCCTACTTCTCTCTCAGCATTGGAGAGCCCGGCCCGTAGGCTTAGGCCCCTGATTTACCCCTTCCATTTGGATTTCATTTGCATCTTTTCATCAGTCACACAGGAAAGCGTGTGAAAAGGCGTCCGGAGGCCTTTTTTGAGCATTCTCCTCTAAAGCAGCTATGGGAGCCCCGGGCAGGCGGTCTGTCCCTCTGAGGCGGGTGCCAGCTGTGGCAGGAGCCTCCGGCGGCCCGGCCAGACTTCCTGGGTCAGCCTCCGAGCCGAAGGGCGTGCCTCCTCCGTGGCACGCAGAGGGGTCCGCCCCGGAGATGCAGTTTCTGGGCTGTTTCAGGGAAGGGCCCGAGGCTAGGGACCCTGAAAGGAGCGGTTGTCCAGGGGCCTGAATGCGGTTTTGAGGACCCGGGTCCCCGCACACTCCCACTGACCCCCCAAGCCTCTGTCCCCAGAGCCCTGTGTGCCGGGAAGGCCCAGCCTATAAAACTGGAAACAAAATGTTCCCGGTTATTTATAAGCGGAGCCCAGCCCCTGTGGCTCGGGGATGGCCCTGGTGTTCTCCAAGGAGCGCAAAGGGCCGGGAGAGGGGCTCCGTCTCCGGCAGATGTCCGCTTCCCGGGGCTGGAGACCCGGCGGCCTCCGCTCTGGGACTGCAGCGCTGGGAACGGCTATCTCCTTGCTTCCCGAGGGAGGTAGTTCCTACTAACGAGAAAGTTCTGTGAACCCTGAATGAACCCTTTCACTTTTGGTTTCTCCGTTTCACTTTCTGTCTGTGCTCGGACCCGGGGAGAAAGATTGAGGAAGGTTTCAGATGTTTCCTTTATCTCAGAAATGATGTCCATCCCTCACTCCCAGTGTGTGTGTGTGTGTGTGTGTGTGTGTGTGTGTTTCAAATTCACAAGCACACACCTGCAAAGCCCACGCTGCTCAGAGACGGACTCAGGGGCAGAAAGGGGCACCTGCTTTCTCTCCGGGTGGTTTGCTCCGTCCCAGGTGGCCTGGTCTAGAGAAGTGTGTAAAGGTCTCTAAAAACAACCTAAAAAAAAAAAAAAAAAAGAACAAAAAATGGGTTGTTTTTTCTCCAAATATGGCAGAAGAATCAGGCTGGGGGAAACCAAGCACACACAGGTTTGTCCCGGGGTGAGAAGTGGCTCACTGTCCCACGGAGGAAGTGTGCGCACCAGCGCAGCCTCTTGGTGCCGCCGCCATGAGAATGATTTGGCCGACAGATCCGTTTTGCCAAAGCAAGGTGGTGAACTGGAGAGGCCAGCTGCTCCCCGCCAGGGTCTCCAGCGCCACCCAAATGGCACCACAGCCCCCAGGCCTCTCTCCTAATGAGGCCAAGCCGAGCTCGGGGCCCGGAGCAAGGGCTCCCCAAGCCTCGGAGGGTCCAGCAGTCGGGGCGGCCGGCTTGGGAGTGACAATGTCCGGCTGCTCAGGGTCTCTGCTTCCAGACTTCAGGAGCAGAACCTGAGGGCCGCCTGCAGTCACCAGGCTGAGCGAGCAGCTGGGCCTCTGGAATGCAAACACTGTGCTCTGGCCACACTCAGGCCATCTGCAGTCGCAAGGGCGGGCGGCCTGGAGGCCCAGCGGGGAGAGGGTGTCAGAGCGTCTTTCTCACGAAGCAGCAGCCCCTGCCCTGTGGCCCGAGACTCCCCAGGATACAGTGCTTTCCTGAGCTGAGCTGCAGAGGCCTCCGAACACTTTTAATACAAACTATGGTGGGGCCGAAACCAGTTTGGCTCAGTGGATAGAGCGTCAGCCTGCGGACTAAGGCGTCCCAGGTTCAATTCCCGTCAAGGTCATGTATCTTGGTTGCGGGCACTCCCCAGTAGGGGGTGTGCAGGAGGCAGCTGATCGATGATTCTCTCTCATCCATGTTTCTAACTCTCTATCCCTCTCCCTTCCTCTCTGTAAAAAAAATCAATAAAATATATTAAAAAAAGACAAAACTATGGTGGGCTGGAGGTGCCACCCACAGCCGGGCTTCCACCCTCTCCCCGACCCGTGACCTGAGCCCTTGGCCAACGGCCCCATCTCTCAGGGGCTGCGGGGCAGAACTGCAGCGGAGCACAGGCTGTGGGACACGGGGTTTGGGACTCCACGGGGAGTGATCGGTCACTGCACACGAGAACTCTGCCTCGCAGTTACTACCAGGGATCCCTGGGCGGGGTCGTGGGGTCCCCTTTCTCTACACGGATGGAAATGGGGGGTGTAGCCCTGATGTTGCTCCTTTCAGCAGCCTGCACATGAGGTGCAGGAGTGTTGCTAAAAACCTGGTCTTAGCCCTTCCTGTGCCAGCACAGCCGCATGCCCTCCTCACCTCCTCTTCAGGCACATTCTCCTTTCCCCACCACGGCCTCTCCCTCTCCATGGCCTCTCCCTCTCCACGGCCTCTCCTCACCACTGCCTCTGCCCCCACCGCCGCCCCCACCGCCGCCCCCATGGCTGGAGAACAGCCTAAGCCTCACAGACCTCACAGGTTGGGGGCGACAGAGTCACTCTGTCCTGAATCATGTCATACTCAACCACCAGGGCACAGATCCCGGCTCATCCTTTTTTATTATTATTAATATGATTTTATTGATTTCATAGAGAGGAAGAGAGAAGGAGAGAGAGAGGCATCGATCAAAAGAGAGAATCATTGATCGGCTGCCTCCTGCATGCCTTCCACTGCATGTGCCCTGACCAGGAATTGAACCCTGATCTCCAGATTGGTGCTCAACCATTGAATCACATTGGCCAGGCACCAGCTCCTCTTTAACGAGTCCATCCTCTTGCCTCTGGCCACGCCTCAACTCCACCCCTTAATGAGGGGTCATTGTGTCCAAAGCCACCCACCAGTCCCCTCCACTGACCTAACAACTCCCTCCTCCTCCTCCCATATCAGTCTCCACACAGGCCACTCTGAGCTGGGTGGTCCATAGCGCTGCCCAGCCAGTCAGTCTCTCCTTCTCCTCCTGGCCTGGCGGGAACATTGCTCTGACCTCTGTCTCCTCCTTCTTGCCCTTAAGTGCAGGCCATGGGGGTGGGTCACCTGAAAAGGAGCTGGACGCAGAGGAGATGAGGGCCCCTCCGTGTTCACTGCCAGACGTACCTGTTCCAGCTTCTTCCAGGGCAGGAATGCAGCGAGGCCCTCCTGGGAACTGGGGCCAAGCCCCCATCTCCTGCTCAGCAGCATGCCTCCTGCCTTGGTTCCACGAACTCGTTCTGAGACACTCTCTGACACTGGGTCATTGTGGACAGGATTCCAAGGTGGCCCTGAGATTCCCCACACTGCCACGCACGCCTGGAATAATGCCTGGGTGCCAATATGGTGGGCTCCCTCACGTGACCGCTCATGTTTGATGGCACGGTTGACTTTAGATCAAGGATTAGCCAAGCGGCCTGACCTTATCACATGAACTCTAAATGCAGAGTGTACTCGGCTGGCGTCAAGGTTAAAAGCAAAAGAGTCAGCCCGCCCTTGTTGACTTGAAGAAGGAGGGGCCGCACCAAAGGAATGTGTGTGGCCTCTGGGAGATGAGAACAGCCCCCGACTGTGAGAATAGACAAGTCATCTTTTCTGTCAAAGAACAGTTTAGGCAGCCGCCATGTTGGCCACATGGCCTGCAGCTCCCCTGGGGGCCGCCATTTTGAAACAGCAAAGGCCAGCCTTTTCCTTTCAATTAGCCAATCGGGAAAGACTGTGCACCTGAGCTCCAATCAAGAGCAAAGGACAGGTCACGTGCATAAGGGATGATAAACCCAAGCAGCCCACCTGCTTGGTGTGCACGCACTTCCAGACCATGTGTGCGTACCCTTCTATGTAGAAGTAAGTATGTTTGCCTTGCTGACTGGCTCCCAAGTGTTGTGTTTTTTGTTTTTTGTTTTTTAATATATTTTATTGATTTTTCACAGAGAGGAAGAGAGAGGGATAGAGAGTTAGAAACATCGATGAGAGAGAATCATCGATCAGCTGCCTCTTGCACACCCCCTACTGGGGATGTGCCCGCAACCAAGGTACATGCCCTTGCCCGGAATCGAACCTGGGACCTTTCAGTTCGCAGGCCGACACTCTATCCACTGAGCCAAACCGGTCCTGGCTCCCAAGTGTTTTGTATTCTATCAGAACCCCTGACTTGGGGGGCTCGCCTTATTTCTAACACTGTTGACCGCCAGCAAGGAAATGGGGACGTCAGTCCTACAACTGCAAGGACCTGCATTCTGCCGATCCTGGCCAACCATCAACAGGAGCAAGTGTGGAGGCAGATTGCTCAGAGTCCCTAGAGGTGAACGAAGCCAGGTTAATGTGTGATCTCAGCATTCCAGACTCCGGACTCCTGACCTTCAGGTCCTTGGGCTGATAAAATGGCTGTTATGGTATAAGTATCCCTCCCAGTTTTGAAAGCTCACAGCACGTCACTCCATCAGTGCCTGTTTCTGCTCACCGGAAAAACCCAAAGAGGGTTTCACTTCTGGGAAAACAGTGTTGTGTGTGGTTAGCAGCGAGTTCTTGCAGAGCAGCGGTAAGACTGGCGCTGCTTTTGGTGGGCGTTAGTGGTTTTTTAGGTGTGATGCGTTAGTTGGTAGGCCTGGAAGTTCATT